CTTATTTATTATAAGTATATATTTCAAAGTTCTCATATAACTTTATGAGACAATCTCGCTGACAACAACACTCCCATCTGTTCTAATCTAGGCAAAGAGTTTTCAGGGGAGCAACCCTGCTTTTTAAAATAGCAAAACTAGTATGGATACCATCATCCTTAACAACTCTCAAATAAATAACAGTTCCATAAGCTTTTGGGCAAGCATTTGAAAACAGTGGATATCAATTCGATAATTATCTTTAATAACACTTCCTGTAATGAAGTGCTGAGATAGTAAAATCTTATCTAGTTCATTAAGCTCATCACACCACTTTTACTCCAAACTGATTTTGAAATCAGAGGGAAATTCTTCATCCCACGATATACCTAACTGCCAAACATGTTGAATCAAACGCTTAATTTGAATTACAAATGGAGCAATAAATTCTAAAAGATCAAATATATGGTTAGCATGCTGGAGCAGAAACTCTCTAGAATTTGTCTCTTTCAAAAGAAAATATTGAATATAACGAACGAACAAAAATGACAAATATAATGAAATAACGAACGCATTAATAATGAATAACAAAATAAAAACAGTCTCTTTCAGTGTCCAAGTGACACCCAACACGTTCGAAGAAAAAGTAGATTACCTGAGGAGTTCCCCGGATATTTCTGTTGACATATCATTTTCCTGCCTGTACTTCCTCTGGTTTTCAGAGTTAGTTTGCCATTTGTCCAAACGCATCCAGCTTCTTCAAAAGTTTCGTTAAATTCTTTATTCATTAGATGTATCTGGTTAGTATATGGAGGGTGACGCAAATGATCGACATCAAATAGTTTATAATAGAAAATGTTACATAACATTTAATTTGCATAACATTTAAAATTTACATAACATTTGCATTCATATACATTGGTGGTTCAGGTTGAATTTAATCAAACAGAATCAAATATGATGGTAATCAAAGAGTCAAATCATGCAAGAGCAACTTGATTCTTCCTTTCCAACTCACGGTGTCTCGAATCCAAGGAAAAAAAATGGGGAGGTGCGGTAGGAAGTCTGTGAGAAGCAAAAACGGCATTTAATGTTTACGCAGGATGCTAGTGCCATCTGTAGGTAATCAAATAATTTCCACAGGTGGTTCAGAGCAGAAGTGAATCAAGTGTAATTTTCACTTTGTGTGGGCTTTCATGATAAACATTCATAAGAGGTATCTTTCAGTGCTACAGTGAATTGTGTCTTTAGCTGATTTTAATTGTGCAAGATAGCAGCATGTATCAAGTCTTTGAACTGTGTTTTTAATTCATTTTGGAGTACAAGTGAACCATCTCCTTGACAATAATTGATGTAATACAAAGTAAGATGTAATCTAGATACTCCTAGATGTAATACAAGTGCTCTACAACTGGATTGTCTGCCACAAATTCCGATTGTTATTTCATGATTTTGTTACTGAATAAAATAATCATTATCACCTTCATTTCATTTTATTTCTTTGTTTTTGTAAACCTGTTGTGAGCAATTTCATGACCAAAGACAGTCGCATTTGTATTTTTTACTGAACGCAAGGCCAATCGCAACCTCCCTCAACTTATTCTTTGTGTGACGTAAAGGCACAAGTGAGAGCTACCTGACCCAGGTATAAGAGGGAAGATTTTTTGCCATACTAAGTGATGTTGTCAGGCAGTGGATTCAGTGATTTGATTCGGCAAACAACAAATGCGAAGATTGATCTATTAACTGTGGTAGCAGTTTAGGTTAGAAGTTTCTTTACATGCATTTGCACACAGCGAATGTCATTTAGCTGTTACACAATAATGTTTCAATAATAATGATTCAATAATAATTTATATTTACTTTAAAGAAGAATCTTCAAATAAACACTACAACAGGTGAAGTGCACACTTCTTACCCAAGGCAAGAAGCAGCTGATGAAGTTAACTAAGATTACTCTGACTCGGGTATGTTTCCTTGTTTCTTGGATAGATTCACCAGTTATATGTAAGTGGACACATTCTGCTTACACATCCCAATAAACATTTTCCTTATCAAAATGATGAATTAAGTAACTATTTATCTAATGTTTTGGATTCTTAATCTGTTTAAATATTATAGAAGTGACATATCTTATGATCAAAGGACATGCACAGACCTCTCCTGGCACAATTACCTCACATGATAGCCCTCAACGAGGAAGAAAAAGAAATTTAGCCTTCTCAGTGGAAAAGAAATGTTAGGAGAAACAAAGGACTGGAGTAGAAAATCTGGCAAGGCAAAATGGTTCCTTCCAAATACTTTTCTCCAGGTATTTTTTTTTGTAATTGTAGACTTTGCTGCAACTCTAAAATATGTGGTGGCGACTGCCAAAAAATTTTGAGTTGGTCTGAAAATTAGGGGATTTTTCACATCAAAATGCATTTTGAGGTCTTGAACAAGTATATCCAGTTGCAAGGGTTTGCCGTAGAGATAAATTAAGCATCATGATAGATCAGTTAAGCAGCCCTTGTACAAGTACTTTATACATTCTGATAATCAATCTATCCAAGTTTGCAAGACATTCTTCTTGCAAACATAAAAAAAAGTTGGGGTAAATTGTACAGATGCTTGTTGAAAGAAGTATTTGCTTTTACTGACAGTCAAGGATAAACAGGTTCCTTATAATAAAATCAATGATCAAGAAAATGTCTCAGATCATATTAAGTCCTTCCGTGTTATTCAAAATCATTATACCTGGAAAGATTATCCCAACTAAAAATATTTACATCCTCACTTGTCAATTCACAAAACGTACAAAACATGTGTAGAGAAATTCAAGGCTTGAGAGCAAAATCCGTATCAAAGAAAAGTTTTAATTTAATGCGTTCAATTCAATTTGAATTTTAAACCAAAAGTTAAAGATACCTGTCGAATTTGCGATGAACTTGAAATGGAAATTAACTGCGAACAAAATGAAAATATTAAAAAGATTTTGTATACTCGAAAAGACATTCATCTGGAAAAAGCAGAACCAAGCTAGGGCATCCCTTAAATAAGATCAGTTGCTCGCCTTTACCAACATTTACATTGAAATTTTGACTTACAAAAGGCATTGCCATTTCCAAAATTGACCACTTCAACTGCATACTACAAGAGTGATTTGTATGTATACAATTTCGGGGCATTCAATTTGATTAGCTCGTTTATGTTTATGTGAGCTGAAACTTAGGGAGGCAGTGGCTCTCAAGATTTAGTGTCATGCTTGGTGAAACACTTTCAAGCAGCAACACATGAACACTTTGTTTTGTATTCTGATTAATGTACTGGTCAGATTCCCAGTATCAGAATGGCAATGATTTTTATAAAACTAGTGCACAATAATGGCATGGCTGCGAAGCGAAAACCATTAACCACAAATTTTTAGCATCAGGTTGCTTTTACCTGCCGAGCAATGGAACAATTGAAAATGCAGCCAAGAAAAACAGTTTATATACTTGTCTGAAGACTGGATCAAAATAGTGAAAGAATCAAAATGTAAGTCCTTAGCATCTGAAGTTATGGTCATGAAAAGCAAAGAATTTTTTGGTTTTAAATCTCTAAAAAACTGTATATCCAATTGAGGAAAGAATTGTATCTTGAAAAAAGGATGTTAGCTGGTTGAATTTTCAGTGAATGAGAGGTGAGAGAGGGTTGCCACTCTGTTTGAAGTTCAAAATTCTTTGGACGATTTGATTCCCTTTGAAACCGTTTCATTGGAGAAAAAATCACTAGGAAGATGCGAGACCTGTAATCAATTTAAATAATATTGTGCAAAAACCTCTCTATCTTAATCGAAGAGTTGTTAGAGTGAGTAAAAAAATAAGATTTGATTGACTTGTCTTCTTTTATTCCGGCCATCTGTGACATTTACCTGTGCAGTCACGTACTAGGTCGTCTGTAAGATCAAGTTGTGCAGCTGATATGTTGACGAATGAAGGTATTGCAAGTTTTCTTCAAAGTTTTATACAATATTTTTTAATCATTACTTCAAATTCCATTACTTTATTTTTCAAAAATGATATTTTATGTAAAAATTTAAAATTTTCATTGTTTTCCCAAATAGAAATTTTCAGTTTCCATGTTTGTTCAATAAATGAAAGTAATTGTTTTCTTGCCTTGTTCCTATGCATTTGCTACTTGGTAATCAGAAAATAAATGCACTCTGTAGTTTTCAGTGCTACAATATGAAGCGAAATGTTCTACACAGGGAATAATTTTTGGTTTTTGAGATACAGCACCGTAATAAAGACGCAGATGATTCACTAATACATTTCTATGTTTGGGGTTAAAATTTTATTACACATTTCTCATGAAATTCCTTCAAATTTCCCGTGTTCACTCAGTTGCGTTGTAGAGACATTAGGTAATTTGGAAGCAGGAAAGATGAAAAATTGCAACGCCCTCGCCGGGAATCGAACCGCGGACCTCTGGAATACGCGCCCAGCGTGCCGACCACCACACCACGAACGCATGCCAAAATGGTGGGAGAAGTACCTTATATACCTTATATTGCCCCTTTTAAATGGCGACTGGGGTTTTTAGGGAACCCAATCGCCAAATCCTGGGTGAGGAGAAGCATCATCAAACACCCTTTTAGTTCGGGCGCCACTGTAGAGAAATTAGGTAATTTTTGGAAAAGAAGAAAAGATGAAAAATATACAACGTCTTCGCCGGGAATCGAACCACGGGTCTCTCAACTACGCGCTGAGCGTAATCATCTAGTTATAATAGAGGTTCGAATCCCGTAAATGGGCTGGCTGCATGGGCGTTTTCGTGGTTTTCTCCATGTGTAACGTGTATACGACCCAGTTTCCCTTAGAAAGTTCTCCACGAAGGCATCCCTCCCTTTAGGCAGAGAGCCCTCATGTGCTTTGCCATAATTGAATAATCCCTAATCCTTCTATATATTTGCCTCTCCTCTACACCTAAACTTGATTTTGCGCCTTAGAGGTTAAAAGATTTAGCAAGTGCAAAACAGGACATCTATCTGATACATGTCTGTTTTGTCTGTCATTTCAGGTATTGAAGGTGTGCGATGATGATGTCTGAAAATTGTATGTTGTAGGACAGCTGGAATTTGATTTGTATACAGCTGCGATAGAGTATTTGGCACCGCATCAGTATAGGCAGTGATTGATTGAAATATGGCGTTATTGTGTTGTACAAAATCCTGTGTGAAGAATCTGAAGAAATTATCTTATAATTTCAACTTGACGCTACGTTCTAGCAAGAAAAATTACTCAAATTTAGTAGCATGTCGATGCTTAACATCTAATTTATTTTCAGATGTTTATAGAGCGAATTACATAGATTTTAGGTCTCTGTTCTTGTCTTGCCCTCTGATGAAAAAAGCTCGGTTGGTTAAAGTTTATTTCATTACATTTCGAAAACATTTTCTTTGCATAAACGACTATACTAGTTGTATACTTTTTTGTTTTGTTTTGCTATGTATTTGCTTCTTTTATAAATTTTAAATTAGTTTGTACCTGAAACTTAAATCAATTTGTATTTATAATTTTTCTGAAGTAAATTATTTGTATGGTGATTATTTTACTTCGTTATAACTCCAGAATAAATTATCATTATTTTAAAATGCTTATTAGGGAATAGAATTCTTCTGAATTGTATTTAGAACGATATAAATTTGATTATGTCTTTTCATTATATTTTCAGCGTGTCTATAACATTTATGAAAGATGGTAAAAAATATACTGGAATAGGTAAAGAAGGAGAATCCCTTCTAGATGTTGTTGTCAATAATGATCTTGATATTGAGGGATATGGTATGATGCATTCACAATAATTTATTGTTATTTGGATACTTAATGTTATTGTGAGTTTAAACATAAAATTAAAATTCTGTTCATGTCTCTTTAAATTAATTTTTGTTTTAATCTGAAATGCAAAATGTTTGGAATCATGTTTTAATCTCCTATTGTATTTTGGTAAAAGTTTATGATTGGGTGCCTCCTTGTTTCTTGGCGATTCTTTTTTGATGGCAAAATTTCAAGTAAGGCACAATTTCAAGATGGCAGCTAAACAAAACCAAATTAAAAAGTCAAAGAAGTGCACAAACTCTTCTGTCCATGTACACATTGATCTGTTTTCACTTAATAAAACATCCTAGAATTGTACAAAGTAGGCATTACACACTGCCTTAAATTTGTCCGTGTACACATCAATCTATTTTCATTCAAATAAAATCAGAAAGCTAAAACTATCATGGTAATCAGAAGTGAAATTTCATCGCCAAAATTTTTTAAAAAATTTTCGCTAATCGAAGGAGCACCCAATTTTACACAAGAGTCGTATTTTTTTTTAAGTGAAACTTCGGCTGTGATTTTATTTACTGTTCATAATTAGAATGTGGTGTTGTGTATTTAATGGGTTAAATTAATTATTTTATATGATACTTTGAAGTTAGGTTCAGTATTCTATCATATGCAGTTTTTGTAAAAATATTATTCTTGCTATGAGCTTTTTCTCTTAAATGTTTTACATCACTAAATGTTTCTGTATATTGAAAGTGGTAAATGTAATATAATCAGATTCGGTAAAAGTTTACAATTGGGTGCCCCATGTATTTTGGCAATTCTTTTTTTATGCTAAGATCAGCACCAAGAAGGCACAAACACCCTTTTAGTTCGGGCACCACTGTAGAGAAATTAGGTAATTTTTGGAAAAGCAGAAAAGATGAAAAATATACAATGCCTTCACCGGGAATTGAACCACGGGTCTCTCAACTATGCGCTGAGCGTAATCATCTCCTTATAATAGAGGTTCGAATCCCGTGATGGCCACTACACAAAACCCAAATAAAAAGTCAAAGAATCGCACAAACTCTGTGTCCATGTACACATCAATCTGTTTTTACTTAAAAAGCATCCTAGAATTGCACAAATTAGGCATTGCGAACTGCCTTAAATTTGTATATGTACACATCAATCTATTTTCATTTAAATAAAATCGGAAAGCTAAGGCAAAGTTAAAACTATCATGGTAACCAGAAGGAAGGCTTCATCGCCAAAATAAAAAAAAAAAAAAAAAATCTTGCTAATCGAAGGGGCGTTTCTCCCTTCGATTTTCTCCGTTTAAATTTTTTTTATTTTTCAGGGGCATGTGAAGGCACTCTTTCATGTTCAACATGCCATGTTATTTTTAAGCCAGAAGATTTTGCCCAAATCCCAGATAAAGCTACTGATGAAGAATTGGATATGCTAGATTTAGCACCAGATTATTGTGAGACGTAAGCATTTTTTCCTACTGATTATTTTCAATAGGAAATTAAATTTTTTTTTTTTTTTATATCTTCCTTTTTTTTTTTTTTTTTTTTTTTTTTTTTTAATTTGAATGTATTTAGTGTAGGTCTTATGATTTGCATTTTGAGATTACAAATGAACTGTGTTGATTTAATAAAGAAGATTTTCAGTATTATTAATAAGCCATTATGATTGAAATTAAATTATTTACTTTCTGTATGGTATATGTGTTTAGAAAAAAAGGGGGAACTTTAATGTAATACTTAGTTTTTTAACTAAATGCAGTTTTCATGTTCGCTCATAAAATCTTCTTATAGCAACTACTTGGAACTTATCATTTCTAGTTTAAAGATAGTGGTTTTATGTTATTCGTTGTTACCATTTGATATTTGTATACATAGGTAGATAATAGCAAAAAATTTTTGGATTGTTTCCTTCAATATAATGAAATGTTGGGTGTTTTTGCTTTGTAGTTAATTCAAATCAGAGTTTCTGTGTTTTGTTTTTATGTGAGGCAGTTTATTTTCTTTTAGTTTTGTAATGGATCGAGACAAAATGTAGTACGATTAACCACTTTTGAACTTATTCAGATTTTTCATAGCTGAATAATGCATTTTTGACATGTACGAGTATTTGGCATGTATAAGTAAATATCCATCAAGCAGTTTTTTATTTAATTTTTTTTTCATTCCACACACAGTTAGTGGTCATATTATAGTTCTGAAAATAGTGCAGTATAGTTTGAATAGCTTTACATTTTGATTTTATTGAGTTTGGTGGAAAATTTGCATTACTTGAACAGTAAATTATGATTTTAAGGTTTGAAATTAATTTTTTAAACGATGTATTATATTACATAAATACTAAATGAAAATAATTTTGTGCCAAGTATTGAATTCCGCTATTGATCAGAAGAAAACCATTGCTCTGTTTTTGTGGTTTGTTAGTGATTTTGTATATTATGCAGCAAATTAATAATAAGCTCATGTGTCCATTTATGGTAATAAAATTTAATGAATTTAAGTGTACCGTTTACAGCATTCACTGCCATGTTATATTTTTATATTCTTATTTTATACTGTAAAGGCTATTAATGTATAAAATGCGATGGGAAAATGTTGGAATGCTCTAAATTTTTGCTTTTTATATGTGATAGTAACACAGTTATATAAATTATAATCATAAAACAAATTATTGAGAAAGGAAAGAAAAAGTAATAATTTTTTTTCCATTTGTTTTCATGCTTGTTTAATTCATTAGCAAAGTCTGATCAAAATTCATGTTATGTTAAATTGTTGCTAATTATATTTGGAACTTTTGACCACATATTAACAACTTAACTGCCGCGGGCGTATATATACGCTTTGCTCAGCTGATGCATTAACTGCCACGGACATATATATATATATATATATATATGCTCTTCCAAACTACTAGCATTTGCTTTGCGCTGCTACCCATAAAATTATTCGCAAAGCTTTGGAATGCAACACCGCAATGACCTTGACAAAGTATGTGAAGGAGGATACTATTTCAGAGAAGTGTGGAGAGAAATTGGAGAGAGGGGTGTGTCTAAAGCGATGAAAGTAATGACTGCGCGGTATTGGCTGGTGGTGTTTACATATATTTTTTTTTATTCTGTGTCCTCTGTTTTTATTTACATTTTGTAGTAGGTTCCAGGAATAAAGAAAGAAATGTTTCAAACCCATTTATCTTTTTTGATGAACTGCTTGTGCTTCATATTGTTACTGAAACTAACCGTTTTGTAGATGAGTATATGAACCAACACCTTGCAAACGAAAAATCAAGAACAAAATCATGGCATTCAACCAGTTCAGAAGAAATATATGTTTTTTTAGGCATAGTGGTTTCACAAGGTATAACACTGAAACCTGATATTAAACTTTACTGGTCTAAAAATGAATTGATTGAAACTCCATTTTAGGGATCTTTTTTATTATAAAAACATAATTTTTATTACATCTTTTTATTATACTTTTACTCAACACATTAAATTTTGTGCATTCATTTTTTTCTTTTATTCTTTAGTTTGTGAAAGTAAACAGTTTTTAGAAAGTAAAACTTGCACTTATTTTCCCCTTAATACATCGCATAACTACGTATGCCTGTGTGAAAAACTATGGGAAATGAATCTTGTACATTTTCCGTGGCATTTAAGGGGTTAATTGATCTAGTGATTATTCATTGAATTCAGCAAATTGATGGAAGAATTATAGAATAATTGTTGTACTCATATGAATGATATTATAGAGTTTTCATGTTATTAATAAATTTTATTCAGTAAAAGAAAGAGAAAAATAATGGAAATTTCATAGGAAAAAGTAAGAAATAATGCTTAACCTTTGCATGTTTTAGATTTAAAAATTGTTAAATAATGAGACATATAACATTCTTCTAAATAATTTATTAAAGCTTATCATCTTATTTAAAAATGTAATATGCAAAGTCATTTGTGTATAGTTCTATAAATAATTAATAATTTTATTTATATAGCCATGGAATTGAAATATATGAAAAAGTATATGAGATATGGCTGTGTTGCAATATTATATTTTTGCACAAAATAATTTTCTATTCATGACCTTTGGATTGTAACAGCTAAAAGTTACTCTAAAAATTATTTTCACAAGACTTTGTTTTTCATGTTTTAATAATAGAAAAGGGATGTAAAATCAAATTTAGTTTAAATGGATTATTTGACAACTATATTTCAGTTCTCTAGATTATAAGTTGCCATTTTTTTTTCCTTGCCATGATTCAAATTGGAATCATGCCCAGTTTCTACCCTTTGAAAAATCCAGTTCTGCTTTCTTGTAGGATTAAAAACATTTTTTTTTGCAGTAGCTTGATATTGATCCTAAGAAAGTTTTGGGTATGCTATAAGTAAGTATTATTACAAATACTTTAATATGCTTAGGAAGAAATATTGTGTTGTCTCTTTAAACTGAGTAATGAAGATTAAAAGAATGTAATTTAATGTGTGTTGGTGTATAAAGTTATTGGATCTTTCTTGGATTGGCTGATTTTTCATGAGCTGGAATTTATTGCCCTTAGAGAGTTCTTTATAGGTACTCAGAATTTGAAACATCAGTGCATTAAATGTCATTGAGCACAAAGCTTTACTATCATATTGTTACGAAATGTCAAAGCGTGGTAAGATGGCTTCCCCGCAAAGCAGTTTTAGGGTTGCCATAAAATGGCAAGGGAAGTCAACGTTGTCACATTTGGCGAGAAATCACCCTTTTGGCAACATAATTGGCGATATGCCATGGACGGATGGAACGAATTCTAACTGGTTTAGCCCAGAATGTGCTCGAACACAACCTGAAAGCTATATAAACCCTGCTGGTCCGCAGTCAGTGTGTGTGCCTCATTGAGAGGGTGAGTGAGAGTGCGAGATAGTCGGTATCGAGTTGGTGTCTCGTCTAGCGAGTCAATCCCTGCAGAGTTGATCGAGTTGACAGCTGGGCAACGAGTGCCGAGTGGGTCATCAAGTTCACCGAAAGAGTCTCGTAGTGTATCAAGGTTAGTGCATCGTCGAGAGAGCATATTGAGCTCCGGGAACGACTGAACCAAAGAGTCAGGAGCTGTGCTCTGTGTGTCATCGAGTGCATCGCGAGTTATAGCGTGGAGAGTCTCGAGAGTTCATGGAGTTCTGAGAACAACCAAGCAGAGTCGGGAACTTTACTTTAGTGCTTTGCCGTGAAGCTGTCTTGTACGTGATAGCCTGATAACCTGGAGGCTGTGTCGCTGACCGTGCCAGCGTGTTTATAGTAGTTCATCGATAACTGTAAAGTGTTTTGGAGCTGTCCTGATAAATATTGTTAAATAAAGTGTGTTTTGATACTTCATCAAGTCTCGTCATTATTCACTCCAAATCCACACGAACCCCGTACATAGGAACGTGAAGGGAGAAAAAAACGCAACAACTGGTGTCAGAAGAAGAAAACATAACAATATTATATATTTGGAAAATTAAGATGGTTTGCTTAGTTTCTTTTTTCTTCATTCTTATCTTTTAGAAATTTTCATTTCTTTTCTTCACATAAAGATTAAAGTGAGAAGTTAAATAGTGTACAAGAAATTTTAAAAGTTGTTAAGCTCTTAATTTTTTTAATGAAATGAAATAAATTAAAACATCTTTGAAATTGCTGTAATGTTTTAGTATAACCAAAATGCACAAGTATTTTCATTTATCTAATTAGATTTGTATAAGAATATTAGATCATAAGTTCCTATCTAAAAATTTTAATTTCTGAACAAATATTGCATTTAAAAGTTATACCGAATTGATTAGTACAGTCAAAAGTCTTTAATCCGGACTCGTCGGGACTTCAAAAATTCCGGATTATCCATTTTTACGGATTATAGATCGGGAGTTTAAATCTGGTAAGATGCATGCAGAACTTATAAAATTAAAAATATGAAACTGTAATTTATGAAATAAAGAGCAATTATGATCTAAAGGGTATCAAAATTTACAAAAAAAAAAAAAAAAAAAAAAAAAAAAAAAAAGCTTAATATTTATTTGTTTACTTTATTAAACATTTCTTTCAACGTACGCATGCGTAAAGCATACATTGCACATAGTCGAAATTAGAAAATTGCAACCAGAAAACTATTTGATGTGTATTTGTGATATTTATAATGACGAGGAATTTGATTTAAATCATATCAAAGACGGAGTACATCGAGATGAAATACTACATTTAGTAAGGAATTATAAGCCGAATAAAATAAAAACATCTGCCCTGAAGATAAGGATAGTGCTGACAGATCAATTTCCAGTTCATTGCGCGCCGCGACGTCACCCTCCCCAGATACTTTGGCAACTCCAGAATTGGAAACTCTTTTTGACATAATTGAAAGCTCAAGCTTACTTTTTATAAAATTGCTCTAACAGTCTGCAAAAAATAATAAGCCAGATCCAATTTGAAGATTAAGGAACAATGCAATCTGCAACATT